TCAGCGGGGAGTCTGCTTCTCCCTCTGACCCTCTTCCCTCTCATCCTTTTTTTCTCTCATTCTCTCTTTTTCTCCAAAAAAAAAAAAAAAAATAAAAAAAAAAAAAAAAAAAAAAAAGAGGAACGTGCTAAGTCCTGAGGCATCGAACCTCAAGGGCAGAGGAGACCTAGTCCTGACCATTCATCGTCGATAAAGATGAGTAACTATTCTACTTCTTTGTGCTTCCCTTTGCTAATTTAAAAGTTGCATTAGAGGGGCGCCTGGGTGGCTCAGATGGTTAAGCGTCTGCCTTCGGCTCAGGTCATGATCCCAGGGGTCCTGGGATCGAACCCCACATCGGGCTCCCTGCTCAGTGGGGAGTCTGCTTCTCCCTCTGCCTCTGCCGCTTCCCCTGCTTGTGCTCTCTTTCTCTGCCAAACAAATCTTAAAAAAAAAAAAAAAAGTTGCATTAGAGCAGTGTTTTTCATGGCTTGTCGGTAATAGAATAGATTCGAACATATTAGAGCATCTATGGCTTCCTGGAACTTAGGTTTGGGGCACTTCCGTTGTTAGGCATGCGTACGCATGTGCTGGCTCATGAAGAAGAATGCGTGTCTTACTGGGGTCACAATCAAGTCTGAAAACCAGTGGTTAAGATGCTCCCTTATGGTCTTTCACAATCCCGAGTCTGCTGTTTTGATGTTCTGACCACAGAATCAGATCTAACAGCTATATAAGACGGTAGAGACTTGAAATCCATCTCATTGTCCCCGAGATCTTCCAGAGACAAGTGGGTAACACGTGACATACAAATTCTGTTATTTACTAATTGATGTGATTGTCCTTGCCTGTGGGGATTTTTGAAAGGAAAGAAAAGAGAGGCGCAAAGCACAGGAGTTACAGGATTTCCGGGGCTGATGGAAGATCAGTGTGTGCCCTTTAAAGTACTGACGACAGATAATGAGCTTGGCTCTGTAAGTCCTACAATTGCACATATATGGGAAAATAGAGAGGAGGGGAAGTCTCACATCTTAATGCTGCAGGTTTTATTGTGTCCTACGTGCCCAAAGGAAAAGGGGGAACATGGGGGAGGGGGGGTGAGTTTGTTCTTTTCTTTACACCATAACCTATTTTTCAGATCTTTGAAAATGTGTACATGCAAATCTAAGGGGAAAAATTATTCTGCGTACAAAAATAGAACTGGGTTAAACTCGAAGTATTAACTCCTAAATGGTTGTTCAGTAAAATCGTGGCCTAGCAACTACCCAAGGGTTCGAGAGTGGGTGTGCATCATTGTTTAGTTCACCAGTCACCTGCTGGATCTTAAAAATTTATTTAACAGAAACTACAGTCATTTTCAAGTGTATCTCAGAATGGGTTTCCAGGAGTGGGATTTCTGTATCAAAGGGTAAAAAGCAACCTTGCAAGCTGCAGTAAAATAATCATCACGGAATCCTAAAAACAAATAAATACAAATGCCTAAAGACCGAAATGTGACTGGACCTAGACTATCACGGGACACCATCTATTTTATTTTGTTTTATTTTATAATAGTTTGATACAAAAATCCAAATTACATGAAAAGATACAGGTTGAGAAGTCAAGTTCCACATCACTGACCTTGACCACTCAGGTCCCCTTCTGGTGTTTCTTTCTGCAAATAGAAACAAAACATATATATACTTTTCCTTCTTGCCCTGTCACAGGATAATGCAAACAAGTTCTCTACCGCTGTTCATTTAGCAGTCTGTCCTGGATCTTTGGCTGTAATGGGACCCAGAGCTCTCCATCTCTTTCCACAGGTACGTGATATACCATGTGTAAAGGAACAACGGTTTATTTGGGTTCCAGAAGCTCTGGGTCTGTATCGGAGAGCTGAGCCCTTTATACCAGGTGTTGTAAAATGTTTTTTCAGATAGTCATTTGTCTTTTAACTTTGATAAGTTAAGAAGGGTCTTTCCCACTTCAAGAATCAAAGGAATTCACCTGTATTTTCATCTGGGTTTTTTTTTTTTTTAGCATGTCAGTCTTTGATCTATTTGGAGTTTATCCTAGTATATGGTGTTTTAAACAACGACTATCCCATTGTCTCAACACTTTACTCCCAATGATGAGAAGGGCTGTTTATGGGGCACCTCGGGGGCTCAGTCAGTGGAATGTCCAACTCTGGATTTCAGATCAGGTCTTCATCTCAGGGTCATGGGTTCGGGCCCCACCCTGGGCTCTGCACTGGGCATGAAACCTATTAAAAAAAAGAAAATGCTGTCTTTATGGCATACAAAATTCCTATGCTGTCGATTTCTGGACTTTCTATTGTGCATCCGTCCATCTATCCAAGGACTAGCACCATGCTGTTTTAATTGAGGATTGATGATCCCTTCCAAAATATGGTAAAGATCATCCACCGTTCCTGTTCTTATTTTCCAATTTTAGGGCAATCATAAGACAATTCTAGCTTTTCCCAAAGAACGGTGGAATGCTTAGAGCTAGCCAAGCTTTGGAAGTCAGTTAGTGTTTGTTTCTGTCTGGCAAAGTTCTGCAGGGAGTGTTGTGCTCTCTGAATTCATGTCACAGCACCCCCATCAACTATGAAGGGCCCATCATATCTTCAGGGCAGTGTGCTTTCACCTGACATTTATATCGAGCCACGTTCAAGGCGAATGAGTGAGAAGAAACTGGAGTAAGTTTTATGATCTTAGAATCAGTGGGTGTTCTCTTTGAACTAATTAATCATTCTTTCCTACAAACTCTTTAGAGGGGCACCATGCTTCCCTTTCCACATGGGGAATCCTAACTACAAAGGAAACAGATAAGGAGGCAGGTAAAGTATTCTCATTCCCATGCCTCGGGGGAAGACGAAGTAGGTTTTGTAAGCAGCCACCCTCTTCCACACTTACACAGGTTTCTGTGTTTTTTAAAGGATCGCTCACATATTTGCTAACTCTTCAGAGAGAGCACAAGGTCCAAGTGTGCAAGCCTAGACCCTGCTCCTAGAGGACCTAGCGACGCTTGGCTGCTCTAAAGTGGAGACGTGGGAAGCGACCCGTAGATCTGTACTCTCCCATGTCCCGCACAGAAAGGGGACCACTGGAAACAAGATTCAGTCAAGGGCAGTAGTAACTGCCCCCAAAATCTTGTGGGTTGGTTTTATCCTTTTATTTATAATGCTGCTAATATGCTACATGCGCCTTGACTGTGCATCAAATATTCATTCAGTACTTTGATACTGACAGATGAAAAGAGTAAGTAGCAGTTAAGCCACTCCTAAACCTACCCAGAAAGCAAACCGGAGATTTTAAAGTTTATTCTCGATGCTGAAAACTCTTCTCGTGGAAGACATATTCTTTAGATGACCCCCAACCTTCTTTAAACTTTTTTAATCCGGAAACATAACCTATAAAGAGAAAACCATAACAAAACGTGACAAAATAGCAATGTAAAGCTCCCTGGATGATGACAGAGTGAAGAGTCCTGAACCACTGCACAAGTCCAAAAAACAGAACGTCCACCAACTCTCCCTGTCTGCTCACACCTGCTCCCAGTCGCTAACCCCTCCGTCTTCCCTAAATGTAGCCACGATCCTGATTTCTGACACAGTCATCCAGTTTGGCTGTTTTTGCATCTCATATAAAATGGAAACCAAATAAAAGGTAGTCGTTTGTGCCTGGTATCTTTTACTCAGAAAATTAGGTTTGACAGATTCATCTGTGTCACTATATAGAACTGTGACTCATTTTTATTGTATAATCTTCCATTTTATGAATATACCACAATTTAGGGATCTATTCCACTGCTGATAGACATTTGTTTCTCTCTTTCAGGGATTACAAACAATGCCGTGAACATTCCTGCACGTGTGTTTTGGCACCTATGTGGACACAGGTGTGTTGTTTATAACCTAGAATCAGAAATCACTAGGTCAAACTCTAAACTTTTTCAGAATGCTTGTACCAGTTTACCTGCTCTGGAATCAAAAAATGAAAATTAAAGCCATAGTTATAAGCATCTGGATGAACCTCACAAACCTAAAATTGAGTAAAATTTAGATGAAAATCCCTGTTTCACATCCTTCTATTTTTTTTTTTTTTATTAAAATTGTTAGCCTTTTTAAATGTTATCCATCGTGGCAGATGTGTAGTGGTACCTCACTGTGGTTTTCTTTTGCATCTCTTGCCCATTTTTCTATTGCACTGTGTGCTTCTCTGCTTGGTCTGCCCCCAACAAAACACCACGGCCTGGGTGGCTTACACAGACATGTATTTTCCCACAGTTCTGGAGCTCCACGACTGATGTTCACGTGGCTGACCCGCCGTCCTCAGCCCCCCTGGAGGAAGAGCAGATCCTGTGTGGCCCAAAGCTCCCATTAGGAGTTATACTGTTGACTGTTCAGTGGCCAAGGCCACCAGGTAAACAAAGACACTCTTATCGGGAAGGGACACTCCAAGGGCCTAGAGACCACCTCCTAGCAGCCAAGGGCAAAGGCCAGACCTCTCTTTGGGTAAGGTTAATGAAATACTACATACGCACTTCTAGAATCTGCCAACTTACTTTGCCCCTTGGACGTCCAGGAGGCAACCCAACCCTGGCATGTCCAACACCAACGGTTCAGTCTTTCTCCAGACTGCACCCACAGGCTCTCCCCTGTCCTAAGATGGTCACTCCACCCCCTTATTTCTCCCCTGGACCCGTGGCAACAGCCTCCCAACTGGTCTTCCTATTTCCAGCATCGTCTCTTCAGTCCGCTCCCAACACAGCGGGCAGGGGGTTCTTTCGTGTCCCCTGACTCACGTCCTGCCAATGGGTTCCCTTCCCACTCAGTATAAAACCCAGTGTTCCTACAAGGTCTGACGACCAGGGCTTTAAGCATTTATTTTTAAAATTCCACTCGGTAAGAACTATTTGTCACAGCAAAGATACACAAAAGCAAAACAAGTATTTCATTAAACAATATTTACCCTGATTTGACTTTTTATGCGCTGTTTTCTCTGTGTTCTGCTCTATCATCCAGAAACACTTGGCAGCAGCCCAGTAAATTGATTTCATGAATACTTAATGGGTCATGCCCAGCACTGCAAATACACCACTCCGTCTATACAAGCTTTGCCCCCTCCCCCTAGCACCTCACACTGTCACCCTGACCACGCCCCCGGGGGCGCCCCCTTGCTTACTACACCCAGGAATAACGGGCCTTGCAGTCCCTGAGGGCCTTGCGGCCTTTGCAGCGATCACTGTGTCTATCTGGAATGTTTGCCACCAGATATCACAAGGGCTCATTCCCTCACCCTCTTTCAGATTTAACTCCAATGTCCTCAGTGAGGCAGCCCCCTTTACCTCCTACATCACTGTCCAGCCTCTAGGATCCCCCAGGGCTGAAACAGATCCATCCTCCCCAGAACTCACTGGACCTAAAAAGAGCCTTCACTATCAGGCCCTGGAAAGATACCTGGCTTCCCATGGCTCGTCACCCTGGCTGGTCTGGCCATCCTCCTCCAGGACAGAGCTGGGGTTGGAAGACCACCAGAGGACAGATACTTACAGAATCCGATGTCCCGAGGGAGAACCTGCGGACCAGCTAACAGGAAGGAGGGGACAGAAACTGCCCAGGACTCAAAGGGGGGGGGAGGGGCAGAGAACGAAGCTCAGACACCCGCTCTAGCATTTCCTGGCCACTGATCTTTGACAATCGGCTTCATGTCTCATAGGTCTGGAATTCTTGGCTACAAACTGGAGTTTCACAGCATCCCCTACCTCACAGGAGTAGATCATTTACACGGAACAAGAACGACAAAGAGGGCCGCTAGCTGAGTGGGGGCTACACACACCGCTCGCCAGGGCCACCTGCTAAGCCTTCAGGCATTTTAAGAGCTGCTTGTTTAAACTCAACGATTATTAAAAACTGAATTATATAAACTTACAATTAAATAGCTTATATAAAAAGCAAAGTTAAGGGCGCCTGGGTGGCTCAGTTAAGCGTCTGCCTTCGACTGAGGTCATGATCCCAGGGTCCTGGGATTGAGCCTTGCATCAGTCTCCCTGCTCAGTGGGGAGTCTGCTTCTCCCTCTCCCTCTGCCCCTCCTTCCCACTCGTGCTCACTTGCGCTGTAATAAAATCTTAAAAAAAAAAGTTAATTGATACCCCACGTCTCCTCATTATTTCACTATTGTCCTTACTCATGGGGTTGTTCACATCTCTTGTGTGGCGGCGATACTACGTCGTGGGCTACTGTGAATTGCTTTGTAACTAACTCCACATTCAGTCACTGCTAGTTTGAAATCCACTGTGGTGGAAATAGTTTCACCACAGAAATGGGCAAGCATTACAAATTAAAGGGGTTGTGTGTGTGTTGGGGGGGGTTCTTGTTTGTTTTCCTGAGAGCCATTAAACATTTATTGACACACCATTATTTTCAGAGAATGTTCTCAATAAATGCCTTCCTCTGGGCTTCCTCTCACCCAAGTGGGGACAAAAACTATCAGGCAGGCTTGCTTGTTTGCTCATTCCCTCCATGTTCAGAGCTCTACACTGAACTTTACTGGGTAAAAACAGTCTGGGATCAGACTCCCAAAGTGGGAATCTCTACCGAGTACTAATGTCACTGAAACATCATGTGGTTTCTGTTTGATTCATAAGAAAACTTCCTTACCGTTTACTGTGATTTGCAGTTCTGTAAGGTTTGTCACTTGGTTAGTTTAACTTCAAATCCACACTGGCTTTGATGTTGTCATTTACCAGCTTCTATGAAGCCCACGGGCTGGGCTTTCTCTACACAGGTTGATTTTAACTCCATTCAAAAATACGAACAAAGGTTCAAAACACAGTTTGGCAGGGGCATGGGGGAAGGGGACGACGTAGAAATATCTTTGCTCTTCCCCACAGACCTGGAAATTTCAGTACAAGCTGCAACTTTGGAAGATAATAGGGGATATTTACACATGAGCATCAGGGAGCGCCAAAGCTCCCTGGGAAAAGGAAATACCCCACCAACTAGAGAATTAAGAGCTCAAGACAAAAGAGAACACGGGAAGCAGTTAGTCCAAATCACAACTAACTCACTTTTCAACCATCAATAAAATTTTGTTCCTCATTTTATGGCCATTTTTTCCATACTTACACTAAACTTTTATTACTTCTTATAAGTGATTATGCAAGGAACCAAGAATGAAGACTCCACGACCATCACCTTGAACTGCCAGCATCCTTGAGTAGAATTCCAATCTGCGCCTTGGCAACATCATAAAATATAACGGTCTTGAATTTTTCAACTGAAGGAAGAAACTGAGGGGTCAAGAGTCCTGAAGCTGGAAACCCCACTGCCTCATTAGAGAGAATGCTCCTCACTTTGGAAGGGGGGGGGAGTGTTGGTCTCACTGGGATCTCAGGGCTCGCTCCTCCCCTCCTGACAGTCTAAGAACCAGGCCACTGGCCAATATATGCCTCAAAAAGGAGCCACCCGTGTTCCTCCTGAAATTTCACGATGTTTTCATATTCCTGCTTATCAGTAATCTAAGCTCTTCATGGCCTTGCCTTGGGGGCCACACCACTGAGCACAGAGCCTGCCTGCAGCTGCAAGGGCAGATCACTCCTCCAGGCTGTGGAGTCTAGTATTTCCTGCAGAATTGCTGCTGAACTCATAATGTAAGAAGAGGGAAACTCTCCTAAGGAAAGAGACTGTCACTGCCTGCAGGAGCCCATTGTTACGCGGTACAGGATCGATTAAAACCTGTTTGTGCATCTTCAGTACAAGCTGCTCCATCTCCATCCTCTGAGCTTCCAGCAGTTTCCCCCGACATCGTCACTCCCCTTCCTCCAGCCCATTTTGCCTCTCATCCGACACCTCCACTGATATTCCAGAGGCCTCCCCAACAGCCCCCACAACACCTACAACCCATGCTAGGATGCACACCAGGCATGTTTTTAAAAGTAAGACTTTCTGCAGCTTCTGGGACCCTTCTTAGGGACAATAAGCTGATTCTTCTAGACTGGAGGTGAGACAGGGGTGATACAAAAACGTCAAGGTGCTGGGCTTCAAGAGGGCAAAGTACAGAAACCCAAAGGGAAGTACTCACCTGGAGCAAGGAGGGAAGAAAACACGGGATGATGACTTTTCGGTGCGTTCCCAAACTTGCCCACCAGAGGGAAGCCTCGAGCTGCGGGCAGGCTGGCCAGAAACCAGAGCACGCTGCGTTGGGCGGCTTCTGACCATCCTCATGTTCCCTGTTCCTAAGTGTTTAGAAAAAAGGACACCCACTTAAAAAAAAAAAAAAAATCAAATTCAGGACAAAATGAAGAACTATATTTATTTTTACATTATTCTAATTTTTATAATTTTTTTTATCAAGCTGAGTATATTTTCCATCGTCATAGTACATCCTCACTTTTGTTTCACTTAACCAAACATTTCTGTTAGATTACCGTGTGTTCATAATAATCACTGATTCTGCTGCACAATTCCTCAAACTTGTTGGTCTGATTAAACTTAGAGTCACTCATCTGCTTTGTCAGGAGGAAAAACAGAATATTTTGGCTGCCCTAATTATTTTACAATATTCCTGATACTAGCTCCTTTAGAATTGGTTCCTTAAAATATGTATGGTTATGGACATTCATGAAGTTTTCATCATATTACTGTATTGATTGTATCAGAATTTCCTAATTTATGAAGGCATTAGCTACATATGACTTAGATTACCATATAATTTTAAAATGGTTATTAGAAATAAAATGCTCCCCTCAAACTTGTTTTATTATATACAAGCATTATTTTATACAAATATTAAAAAAAACAAGAGCAAAGCAAACCCCCTCTTTTTTTCCAAACTGCCTGTTCTTACTTTAATAGAACTAACATTTAATCAGATTTCTCTGTTGGCTAGATGTGCTAGGCTAAATATTAAAAATTCCCAAGCAAACGCATTTTTCCTTTATACTTTACTGTTATCCAAAGAAAATATAAGGGACTCCTATGTCATAAATGTAATTTTTGCTCATTATCAAATATGACACATTTAGGTTTCAACGGAGTTGAAGGTTTATGAGATACTGTTTGGATTATTACACAACTCACAAAGGCAATAGCTAGGCTGACAGCTCACATTCCAGCAGAACTCAGAAAGCTTAGGAAGCTGGTGATTCTGTCTTCCAGCTTCTAAAACAAACAAAACGCTCCCATCGGTTCAGATACAAGTCTCACCACCGTCTCCCATATTCCAGCAGGATAGAAGGGTAAATATATCGGATTCCATGTTGGTGGAGTTCCTACCACTGGTTTTGGTTTTCTCCGTAAGTAAGGCAAAGGTCCTGTGGTCAAAGTACATCTGATCCAGTGGCCAAACAGAAACAGGAACGGGGGGAGTCCGTCACAGCCAATGTGAGCAACAGGGGGAGGACTGACCGCAGACCCCGGCCACAGTGCCAGGAGCCACCTCCTCAAGAAGCAAGATTCTGGCGGAGTTCCAAATGCATGGAGGCTGGGGCACAGTCAGGCAGAGGGAGTTTCCCTCCCGCACCCCGGTCCCCACAGGCCCTGTGGGTGTGTGTCTGGTAAAGGGCGCGATCCTCAGCACCTGGGGCCCCACAGGAGGAGGAACCAAGCCGACTGTGGGGAGGGCTGTCAGAAGGCGACAGTTTGGACAGTGACCAGAAAGGAACAGGGGGAGGATGTCCAGCTCTACCAGACGATGTGCTCTGAGGACTTCCAGGGAAAGTGGTTCCGGTGGCCTCCGGGGATGGAGGTTCTGAAGCTGCTCTTACAGTTGTTTCCGGGAGAACTGTGCCTGGTCGGCACCAGGCTACCTGTACCCGGCCCTACGCCATCGTCCCCCCACTCCCCTTGCTCTAGGTTGTACCTGTCCACATAGCACTCATGCACGGAGCCCTGGATATGTCCCCGAGAGCTCCTCACACACTGCACCGTATGGATGGAGGTTCCTGTGATTCGTCCCGCAGAACCAACCACCCCGACCTGCACAGCGGGCTCAGGACTTGTGTCTGAGACTCATGCTGTGTGGGAGCCTGGTTAGTGGACATGGGCTGGCCTCCAGGTCAGAACGGGCCCTTCTGTTCCTCACACCAAGAGCTACAAATCTTGTCTCACGTCCCCTCCTGCTCCAAGCGGGGCTGGCCCCCCAGGATGGAATCCCCGAGGGGAGGCAGACACACAGGAGCCCGGGCTCCTTGAAGATACAGAAACACGAGAACATGGAAACGCAGCTTGCTCCGAACTGCACGTAGGCGAACAAATGTTTGACTGCAGACCCTGTTATTCACCCTCTGAATGTGGCCCTTATGGGGACGGTCAGTGGCAAGTCTCAGCCGAGGGGAGGACGCGCTGCCCGGAGCTCCCAGCCGGGACTCCAGCGTGGCCGTCTCCATGGGGCTTCCCCAGCTGATGAGGCTGGATGTGGTAAGCACCCGGGCGGATGCAGCTTTGCCTTATTCTCCTTTACTGCCTACTATTGCTCTCATCTATGTGCAGATTTCCCTTTTCTTCTTTCCATTTCTACTATATTTTTATAATATCAATAAAGGGGTTTTTCCACTTTGAAACTGAGAGTACAGCTGCTGTAAATCTTTTGTTCAGAACAGACATGACGCCTTCTAACTCCTCATTCAGCAGACAAGAAAACAATACGATAAAATGACTCCATGCCCAGGTAGTTAACTGCAGCGAATAAAAGCAGAGTTAACTATAAAATAGGACAGTTTGATAGAGGTTGCATTAAATATAAATTATAAACACTGCTCATTTGCCTACTAACCACACAGTACAATATTTATTTATTTAAATAAATATTTATTTGAATATTTAAATCCGCGTAACACAGACTTGTAGATGGTACACCTGATTCGACTCCGTTTGATGCTTAGGTTTCCTAGCTCATCATATTAGGCGTCATGGTCTAAGAATTTCTGCTTATAACATTAAAAAGCATGAGAAAATCCAGAGGACATATGTG